AACAACAAATGCGTTACTGTTACTGAGCCCATTTTAAAGTACAAAAATCATTTCTTTATGTGTCATATGCTACGGTTTTGTCTAAAAGTGTAACGCGTCGACGGTATGCCCGTTTCCGCAGAAGGACCGAGTTGCTAGCCACTTCGCGTTAAGCGTTGATGGGGGTCCACTTACCAATGTCCGCGCTCTGAGTGATATTCAGAGAAGACGATGTGCTGTCATTACCAGATATGTACTCTGCTGTCTGCAGCTCACAAGTGTAATGGTAATAATATTATGGTGTAATATACACTGGTTCTTTACCCGACTAGGTGTACTCACCGCACAGTGCCGTATAAACGAGCAGGGAAATGAGCCTTACAATGTACTGAAAACTGTCCATTTTACAACGTAGACAATAGATGCAAAAGTACTGTAATCAAAACGGTGACACCACACACCGGTTCAGTACACTAATGGAAACGACGTTGTGTGCTTATGTACCGCGGCCAACAGAGCGCAGCATGGTGTGACTTAGGCTTGAAATGCTACAGATGTTTTTACGCTGTATTATTTTAACAGATGTTTTTACGCTGTTATAATAATATTATCTATATTATTATGATGCTTATGTGCTGCAAGGGCTTTGTGGTGGTCGTTGCTGATTTATGCTATGCTTTAGTTCCTTAACCGCACGTTTGTGCTAGGTAGTATGATCGTTTACTGGGCAAAGGCTATCAATATAACAAAAAGTGCATTCGCGTAACACTACTCAAAATGATACAAATTCAAACGTTAAAAAAACATCCAAAATCGTTATCGCCGTCGAAAATCCTAGGGCGAATATTCAATGTGCCCAAAACTGCAGCAGCATTTCCTTTCACTACAGCTAGACTTAATCTCTGCTTCAAAAATGCAGTAGAACAAGGTTCCCCTGTCACGTCGCGAATCTTTCTGCCAGCGAAACGAATAAGCTCCATAAAATCCAAACCGAATGTGCCAAAAGTTTCGATTGCCAGGGCGAAAAACAGGTAACCCATCCTTTCCATGTAGGCGTATTTACGGCGTTTACAGTCTTCGGACATATGCGCAACACTACCGGATGCACTTGCACTTGCCCGGACATGCGATGCGGCTACCGTGTACCAGCATGTAGCGTCCCATACCAGCGCCTTACCATCCCGTACCGGCACGAGGGTCATGCCATCTGGCCGCGTGTTACTTTGCCTGACAGTCCGAGTGGCTCGCTTTGACATGGATACCCGGCATGTTCCAAAGCCCGCTTTGTTCGGCATTCAGTTCGGTATGCCTAGACCATCTGCCTCTGCTGCTGGAACAAAAAAGGCCGTGGTGGCCGTTCGTTTCCACATGGCTTCCGCAGTTCACACAATCGTGTTCTTCTACTGCTGGAAGTCCAAAACGAAGCGCCACGCCGATTCGTACTTCTTCGTCCCGCAAGAATGTATGCAGATTTGGAACAGGCAACGCATTTAGTCATGCGCCCGAGTCGCGATACAACGCCGCTAACAGCACCGCTCGATTCGTTTCGTCGGTAGTGGCCAGCCTCATTGACGACACAGCTTTATCAATCGTCGGTCGATCCCATGCAAACTGGAACTTGCGTTGTTCTGTAACAGGAGGTTCACACTTTCACTTGCGTTGTTCTGTAACAGGAGGTTCACATATTTACATTTGAGTGAAAAGTTTTGTTTTGTCTTACCAGTTCGGTTAGAAAACAAATATACCGCAGTTTGCTAGCTGTTAAATCATCGTCGTCATGCAGTCCTAGTCTACCGGCCACTGTTGCACCTGCAGTAACACTAACGCACATTACAACCTTGCTAGAATTCTACGGAACATATCCAGCAGTTTACCGCCTGCTTCCAAGAACTAAGTCAACAGTCCCTTTATTTCACCTGAGGTACCACGTAATTTTTCAATTCTCAAAAACATCAGCATGTTTTACAACATCAAAATTTCATTAAACTTTCCTACTCCTTCCATCGTTCTCATGACTGATGCCGCGTTACCGCGCTGTATCTCCAGTGACAATCTTTGGCGTAAAAGTTCATGGGAGCGGGTTTCGCCTGTGTGTTGCTCGAGTCGTTTGCCCAGTGCTTTGATAATGGCGATAGCGGACGGTCCCCAAGGGCCCATGGTTTCGAAAGCTATCGGTGCAAAGATTTACGTGCCACTTAAATACAAATACAGCCGGCACTTTTTTCTTCCGCTTCCAACGCCGCTGCACCAGCGCTTGCAGCCGTTGACTTGATGTGGGAAGGCGCAACCGTGTCCACACAAGTAACGTCCCACGCTAAGCACATGCCTCTTTGCCAAGCAAAGGTTGTGCGGCCATCGCGGCGTCGTTCGGACGTATGCGACGTGCCACGTGGTTCCAGTTTTGCCGGAATCCCAGCTGAAACAAGTGATCGGCATACATTGCTATTCAGCGCGCCGTGTCGTGGATGCCTACCGGCCGAGAATGAACAAGACAGTCAACAGTAAGACATAGGCACATGGCCGGGTGGCCCGGGTCCATACTACAGCGGATGAATGTTGACTAAGCGGTTCACCATGTGTGACTACCTGTTCTGACCAGCTTGCCATAAGCAAAGCATGACTTGACATTATCGGAAGCTACCTATTCTGCAGGTATTTCTAAACCTGATTTTGGTTTAATTTCTTCTGCCGTTCGTACGGGACGTCATTCTAATAAAGTAGGCCTGTGCTCAGGCCGCACAGCAAACTGGGGTTTCTCGATTCTGGCAGTCAGTAATCATAGTTGCTTCGCGACCTTGAATCCTTTTGCAACGTGAACAGCCGTTTGCTCCCAATTAATTACATTAAAACATCGTTAACAGCAGCGATGCCGGAATCGAGCGTTACCGCTTTTCGCTTGCGGTGCAATACAGTCTGTACATGCAAGCCTCGTCAGACATTCGAAGAAGTGCTATACGGATATATGTTCCTTGTTGGGCTGATGAAAACAGCCGTTGGTAATGCCAGTATAACCACACGGCCAGTTTGCCAGAATCTAATTCAGTACCTCGCACCAACGTGTGGTTACGGAACTAAAGCATATCATAAATCAGCAACGACCACCACAAAACCCTTGGAGCACATATGCATCATAATAATGTTTTGTAATAACGTTTATGCATCGCCATCAGGATGCAGAGCTAATCTGGTCTGTCATACAAGATTTCGGAATACCGTATTACCGGCACTTCTGCGTCGTTAATACAGAATACAGATGTGCCGTAAAGCATCTGTACGAGGATGCACGCAGTCAAACCGACAGTGAATTTTTTCTGCGAGACCAACCGACAACCACGCACACAGGCAAATTATTTTTCCACATAACAGCCACCCGTGAAAGGGAGGTATCGTTTGCACTGTATGCGTGGAACAGGTGACAGCCATCCGTGGATGGTTGGCAGTCGCTTGTACTATATGCCGGTTGGTCTCGCTGAAAAAATTTACTGTCGGTTTGACTGCGTGCATCCTCGTAGCATTTCAAGCCTAAGTCACACCCTGCTGCGCTCTGTTAGCCGCGGTATATAAAACACTCAATGTCGTTTCATTAGTGTACTGAAATTGTGTGTTGTTGTCATCGCTTTTATTATAGTACCTTTTTATTCGTTGTTTACTTCGTAAAATGGGCCGTTTCCAGTACATTGTAATGCTCATTTCCCTGCTCGTTTATACGGCACTGTGCGGTGAGTACACCTAGTCCTAAAGTATCAGTGTATGAACAAGCATAATACATATGTATTCTTATCATTAAACTTGTGAACTGCAGACAGCAGAGTATCTGGAAATGACGGCACATCATCTTCCAAGAATACCACTCAGAGCGCGGACATTGGTAAGTGGGCCTCCATCAACGCTTAATTGCATTGGACTGTGGCATTCCTTATATGCAGCGTCCTTACCGTATCTACATCGTAGATAATGAGATTATTGTATCAACGACATCAGCCACCACTGCCACCAGTGTTCCAAATAGCGTGGCACCTACGTTGGCGTCCAAAGCGCAGGCATCGGCTGACCATGGTGGGCACAACTAATCAGAAAAATTCAGTGTAATCAGCAATCATTTGTCAGTGCATTTGTGCTGCACAGATACCATAGATCCTCCAGAATCTGATGAAGACGAATCGGAGGATAAATCTTCTGCCATCGATACCACTCAGAGCGCGGACATTGGCCAACAGGGTAGCGCATTACCTAAGTACAAGACAACAACCTCTTTAAACCTTCGCTAACCTATAGTAAGCATAAGGGATCCTTTCTTTAACTACCGTAGCGTTTCATCATTTTGACTTTTACGAAATCGACTAGCCAAAATTACTGCAAGAAGCGTGGCACCATCGGCAAAAGTAGAAGAAAAGAAGTAGATTTCAGCAAAAGTATGTAGTCGCAATATTAAAAGAAGTTTTACGAGTTTGCGTCGATGCTATTATGGAAGTATCATGTGAGGAATCTACCACCTACTATAGTCATCTACTGTACTCGTCATTTGTATGCATGCTAGCATTGCACCGTCTGCTTACAGTCATCATGTAACATCCATAAAGATACTGCACGGTCACCCTTGTCTATCTTAGGAAAACCCTATGTCACATGAGCATTCAAGAGGCCTAAAAAATTTGCATTTGCAGGAAATGCCAACTTAACCCAGACGACGTTTACACTGCCTTACGCCAGCCTCCAAATGCAGGTCTTTAACACGACATCCGATAGGACGCCGCTCTTCTACGCACCGGCCGCCACTCTGATGCCGCCTGAGTTCGGTAGAGATCCCGGTTGGGTGTCAGTGAGCGTCGAGAGAAACACAAGATGCTTCCGCGTCGTAATAAAACTCTGTACACCGTATTCCTGTACATCCTCTCGCACCGTGCGATACGTCTGGGACTTGCGAATGAATCTAGCAGTGGGGGCTTTTTCCAAGGTCTTCCCGTTGAAGTTGCAATGGATGCTGCTGGGGTACTCCACCAATGACTCCACCCCAACGATTACAACCGGTCTCTGGCAGCCCATGACCAGCAGGCTACCGACGGCCTCCGTGCGCATGTGCTATCCAACGGACGCGGCGTACAACGAACAGTTGACCGCGCTGCGCAACGACAGCGCGACGTTTGCGTCGCGCCTCTTCGTGTCCCTTGCCGTAACCGCCCCGAGTGCGCGCACGCTCCGTTCTGCATCGATACACAACATCTCCCCAACAACACGATCGTCAACGCCCTTGCGGAACGCTTCGCAACCGGGCAAAACTACATTTACATGCAACCCAGCGAATATGCCAGTTTCACTAAAACGCTCGTGGCAGCATCTGTTGAAAAGGTGTTGGGTGAAGACGAGTTCGTTGAGGACGTCGAGATGGACAGGTTGGTCAGGGAAATGTCGGCTGTTTTCCTGTTTAATACCACCACCACCAAAAACTTTACGGCGGATATGTGGGCAGCCACGTACTGGCCGACGGAGCGCCCCGATATCAAGGTACGTCGGTTGGACAGCATTCTCGGCACGAATCGTATCTGGGTGCGGCAGATGGTTCCGTACCGGTTCGACTTTCCAGCTCCCCGTCCGTTACGGGAAGCGTTACGTGCGGCGAGCAACAATTACGAAATGTACGTCAGCGATGAGGATTTTAAAGTTCACCTGAACCCGAGGCCCGTGTATCGTGTCAATCTGGAAGTCCTTCGTCAAGATACGCCGATATGCAACGGACATATTTCGTTCACAAGCAGGAATTCCGGTTATACCGGTACGATACCGGCGAGTGTCAGCGGAAAAATTGTGTTTGATGATGGAACCACTCTATAATTGGAACTCTTGCGGAGTTTACCGACTCCCGCTTCCATGATATCAGAATTAATATCAGTGAAGTGAAATATGAAATTTAGGCCGATGACCTTGTTGCAAAGGCTTTTAGAGTGCTTGATTTAATTTTCGCTAACTGAGGAAATTTGATTGGTCAATGTGTCAGGCGATGAGTGTCATGTCATGACTCATGAACACCGAAGCCGCTTGCGCTGAGCTTTTTCTAATGACCAGGTGAGTTTAGTGAATAAAGCAAAGTTCGCTCCGGCCCAGGCAGCCGTATCCTAAAAAGCAAGGTGAAAACCATAAAGTTCAGTGCATTACGGTACGCACAAGTCAAACCACTGATTTTGAAGTATGAAAATACGTTGCCAACTTGCAAATACAGAGTACCTGCTTGATAAAGAACATAGCGTGTGAAATTAGCAGGTTATGGCAACGGCTGGGCTGGACACGGGTTTAACTTGTGCGAGAAATCCTACCGACTTTGTTTGTTTGGGCATTCCAATACGGTAAACCCTCGCAGGATATAGCATAAGCGATGCTTTCAATCTGGGCTTAACTTTTTTTGACTTACTAGCAGGTTAGTTATTAGTATTAGACTATTATCAATCAGTTATGTTAACATGTGAATACCGTGATATAAATACCGATAACAAAAACGATTTAAAAAGAAAAAAATAGCAATGGAAGACAAAAAACAGTCAATACAAATACCGATGAATATAAAACCGAAAAGGAGATTGAAAAACGCGCTACAATGCAGTACATACTGATAGTGCGATACGAAGAAGACAAAAATTTAATAAGGAAAATGTGAAAATTTTCTATCAAGATCACCAGCCTGTACATTTGTGCAGCCACCATAAGCGTAACAATATATAACCGTTCTAAATTCGTTCAATATGTATACGTTATATAATTATTATACGTTCTACATACGTTCTATAATGTACATACTCGCGTGTACGTTCTTTGTACTTTCTCATAACACGCTGATTCCGCTCGGCCAGAATACGCTGTCGTGCATTTTCCTGCATTTCTTGTAGGTACCTACGAGTACTTACTCTTGATTTTGTCGCAAGCAACTGCTTATGTCGCCACCGTATTTGGGCGAGTTTGCACGGACATCATGGAGAACACTCAAAACAACTGCGTTCATCAGTTTTCTTGTTATACTGACTTTGCATCTGGCCACTCATGTCAAAAGTACAATTGTACAACAGCCACATTAATGCAATAATATGTCTGGTGTCAGATTTCCAGGGAAGTATGCGTTATGTTTTCTAATACGAAAGCCACACTTCAGCAAAACAATGTTACCGAAAGCTTGCATGCATCATATTTCAGGAAAGCAAGCACTTATGTTTTGCTCAGGGTTACCTGTTGCAAAATGCATGACGGATACTATAATATTTATTATATAAACACATTCGCAAAATTTGTGAATGTCAGGCTGTTGTACCTAAATGGTCGCTCTTTGGCAATAAATATTTTTGTTATTCATAACGTCAAAAGAACCTTTACTGCCAAAGGTAGCAGATTTTGACTGTTGGCTTCTTGTGGGCGGTGGCCATTGCTGTGATTAAGGAAAATGACGGTGCGGTATGTACATTGTACAATAAATCATAATATGTACACGTTTCATTCGTAAGCGCGACCTAACCTTTCGTAAATTCATGACTTCCATAAACTGATACCATTACTGTAATTGACCATTTGGGATCGGCCAAGATTACCTTTGCCTCCCCTTTGCCTTTGCCTTTTCACTTTGCCTTTTTCAACTTCACCTTTACCTTTGCCTTAGCCGCCGCCATTACCTTACCGTTGATATTTACCGTTCCAAAAAACCGTCCCAAATAACCTTTACCGTTGGTTTTAGCCGTTCCATGACAGATTGCCGTCAAACAGTTTACCATTTCCGGAATTTCTACGTCCTTTTGAAGTTTTATTCAAAAACAGCATCGCACTTCAACATTGTAAACAACTTCTGCATCAGCCCGGTTAGCACATTATGATACGAGCAGACCCGGTGCAATTTGCAGTAAGATTATTACGCATCATACATACTAAGATCATTACCATCGTCATATATGATAGAACTATCACCGTTATGCATCGGAATTTTTTTATGCCGGACGCATGAGATACTGTAACGAAAGCTAAACGACGGGAATATCAGCACGGAAAATTTCTGAACTACCAACTGTGTTATACTTCCACATGTTATAATGTCTTCTACATCCATTATAATGTCTTATACATCCAACAATGTTATAATGTCTTCTTAAGGATACCCAATCAAAGATATTTCAGAGCTTAATAAAAAAAATGCGGTTTCATTTGACCGCAGCGGACAACGAAAACAATAATACGCTACAATGTTTCGTGACGACTTGCTTTTCTAAGACGTAGTTTAAAGCCTTGCCGTCGTCGTGCGTTGCGTCTATCTGTACGTTGTAATTCTGTTTCTGTAGTTGGATGTCATAAATTATTTTCGCTAAACATTTGTGAGTCTAAGTTAACAGTTTACATTGCGGCTACGGGAATAATTGTAGTGAAAGGTAAAATATTGCTTTGACTGCGGGCGAACTTCTGATAATTCCTATGTTAATTCTGCAGTATAAATCAAGATTTACCGTGAATGGTATCATAATGTGCTAACCAAACTGATGCAAAACTTGAATAAAACTGCAAAAGGACGAAGAAATTCCGGAAAAGGTAAACTGTTTGACGGCAGTCTGTCATGTAACGGCTAAAACCAACGGTAAAGGTTATCTGGGACGGTTTTTTGGAACGGTAAATTAGAACGGTAAGGAAATGGCGGCGGCAAAGGCAAAGGTAAAGGTGAAGTTGAAAAAGGCAAAGTGAAAAGGCAAAGGCAAAGGGGAGGCAAAGGTAATCTTGGCCGACCCACCATTTGGCCTACATTTTCAGGTTAGCCGATTACAGCATGGAATCGCGCTCCTTACATTGCATCCTTCTTACAGTGCTTTAAATTTTACTACTGGTGAAAAATATGCTGCGCATAGATCGCCGTTCCATGCTATAATTGGCTGACCTGTACAAGCCGGCTGGCAAACTGAAGATGTAAACGTACAGGTAAAGTCATATTAGCGCGGAGTTGGCGCTTGAACGGTGGCCGCTACACTACGTTCATCGCGATGCCAAAGTGCTCGCCACAGTTAGATTGCCGCTTACTGCACCGACTGTTTTCTAGCAACCTCCCGCCAGGCAGTTACGATTGTACTCATTTAAATATATCGCGTGCACCAAACCACCAGCCAGACAGATGCATGTTACGTGATCAAGCAGTGTGGCGTGGCGCGCCGTAATGTGGATTTATGCGTAATCCGTAAATTTCTATGTTCGCTGTGTTTACGAGTGCTTAATTTGTCGACAGGCTTGTACAAGAGTTGCGGCCGGCTCAGGGTATGGTGCCGAGGCGGAATCATGTGAAACCAGCAAGCAACGGGAAACCAGCTAAGAGGAAGCCCGTCAAACGCCGGGTGGTAGGAACGGCGCATGGTTGGTGCTGTTTTAACATCATCAACCAAGCGTCCTTTTCTACTTCCCAAAAAGAGTAAACAGGCCTTACGCCGGAGGTAAACTATTCGCTGTTTTTACTTGATGAGTAATGAGTTTTATTTGCCGGCGTTATTATAGGCAGTTTAGATTATCGCACAGTGTATACGCACATTGTAGGTTATACCCCAATCAGCAGACAAGTTTTTATTTAGCAGTACCGTGAAAAGTTTTTTCTACTGTTACATGAAGATTTTCACGTTGATATCTTCGCAACACAGCTCCACGCTCCGATTCATTTTAGCGATATGCCTGCCATTTAGCTGATTCAATGCCTGATATGTCCGCTCACTTATCCAGACACCTGCCTGTTCTCGTTCTCATATATACGGCTGTTAGTTCTCGAAAAGTATTATTCCACCGTCTAAGAACATTCACTGGCTCATCACCTTTTCCGTTTGCTGCCTTTACCGTCCATTGCAGTCTACTAGGCAATGAGGACGAGCTTACCATGAATATTACGACGTGGCCAATTACGTAAGCAGGAGTGTTATTTCCCCACGACGTTAGCTGTATAATGTATAATGATTTCTGGACAATACAGTATTGGATTGCCAATTGACAATCCTCCAATAGGGCGGTATTCCGCGTTGCAACGCGGAATGCCTTCGTATTGGTGGATATCCGCGTTGAAAATCCATAGTGTATCGTATAGGAATCAGGAAGTGGAAGCGTGGACGATTGATCCGCCGGTCTCATTTTTCAATATCCAGATACGATAGCCGTGTGATTGCGCTTTAACTGCTGCCTTATTTTGACTACGAAAAATGAGAGCAGCGTAACAATGCCTGGAATAATGTCGGAAAAAGATTAAAGGTAACTTTTTACACATCCGTCGATATTAGTGTCATCATGTACTACTGTTGAGTACTGTATTGGTATTAGTATCGTATACTAACGAGTAAGTATCTGTATATTAATATAGCTGCCCACATGTACTGCCTGTGGACTAAAACGTTATTGGAAGTACTACCGTTTTGTAATAGTGCTGCTATTAGTGCAAAGAGTCAACTGGGGTTACACTAGCGTAGTAACCGAGGCTTATGATTGTCCTGTTGCTACATAGAAAAGGTCACAACAAAAACCACAAAAATCACGAGATATCCGCACGTATTTCCGGTCGTACGTCATACACCGTAGTAACCATATCACATGAGAACGCCACACAGCGAGATAAAAATCAAAAGGAATTTGAAAAATTTGCACTTATGGTCCCAGTTTTTCAGTTTGTTGTGAGCTTTCTAATAAATACCACATATAATTCTGAGCGGATGGTCGCACAGTACGTTAGAAATTCAGGAAAAAATAACAAGGCAGTTGGTATAGCTCAGTAATATTCTTTAACGGGCAATAGCCACCACGATAACAATAACTGCAAGCGCCGGTACACTACTTAATAGTTAAAATTTAAACATTAAAAAAACAACCAAAATCTCGATCTTCTCGTGGGTTAAAAGGTAACGTGCTCAAAACAGCCGTAGCATTTCCTTTTACAACGGCGAGAGTAAAACGTTGCTTAATGAAAGCAGTAGAACGCGCTTCTCCAGTTAAGTCTCGAATTTTACGGCCCATGAAATGCAACAATTCACTGAAAGCGGGGCCAAATACTCCCAACGTCTCAATCACTAAAGGATAAAAAAAGTTTCCATTTTCCACAAACGAATATGTCCGGCGCTTGGCATTTTCTGCGAGCTGAGCCACGTATCCAGCTTTCTTCGAGCTGCCGGTGACATGAGAGTCTGCGACCGTGCACCAAATGGTTACATCCCACACCAGTGGTTTCCCTTGGCGGACTGGAATCAGCGTCATCCCGTCGGGCTCAGTAATTAGTTGCACGGCTTTAAAGCGATTCCCGTCATCGACAAGATTTTTATTTCCTCAGAACTTTTAGTTTATAATTACTGAATTGATTCAGTAAAATGTCATCGTACCTTGAGCGTCACTGGCACAGTCACCACCTTCAGTTCAATGGATAAAGCATTTTACATACTTGCATGAACAACAGAACATAAAACAACCATTCCCCAGCAGATACACTCGAATCACAACAAAACCACTTCCTCTATACTGTCTTGCTCGAGAACTGTCCGTTTAATTCGCAAAATATCGCATCCCCGCGCTGTATCTGTGTGGACAAGCGCTAGCGAAAACTTTGGCGCGTTGGACGGTAGTAGAAACCAGGCCGCTTCCGGTCTTGTCCACGAGTTTCTTAGTGCCGTCTTCCCAAAGTCCGTAGATCTCCTACGCCACCGGGAAGAAATCGTATCTTAGGTAACAGCCAGCAGCGTTTCGTTAGCTTTCCCCTTTCTGCTTGCTCCGCGGCTTCCCCGGCGTTTACGGAAGTGCGCTTAATATAAAGGTCCACGGCCGTTGGTTTGCCACGCTCCCGTGGGACCAATGTGATGACATCCGGCCTTTTCAGATCTTTGATGCAAAGGCCTTTTGGCTCCATTCTGGCTGGGAACCCGGCAGTCTTCAGTCTCCGAGCAAACTAGCCGCCGATGCCATTCTTTCGTATGTATGGCTAGGAGAGCATAACTTAAGGAAGTCATCCGATGACAATTTCGCAGCCAGCGAACTGCAGGGTTTTTTTCTCTTTCTAAGACAAAACTTTTCATTGAATGTAGCCAATAACTTCTTACTCTATGTTGTTTGTCTTCGAAGAATAACACCATGCAATAGCCACTCTTCTTGTGTAGTCAATAAAATTGCACCCGCGCGCGCACTACATAAGCTGCTACTTGTTTTGTGGAGAAACAGCCACCCCAGTTCCACAATGTAGAAAGATAGAAAAAATGTCACTAAGAGGCCAAGCTGCAGGGCGCAGAACACCGTAGTGGCATCGCCTTCAAAATCCAGCCTTCGAAGAAGCGAGCGAACCTTTTTGCCCGAAATTCAGAAAAATTTCATATTTTGTAAACTGATAGTATACTATCGTAATATGCTTAAAAAAATATTTTCATCTGCCATGGTCAAGGGGGCGTGGCCAGACAGCATTTAAAAGTTTGCATATTATCACATACTATGCAATGCAGTGAGTCGATCGAGTTATTCGTAATTAGTTTTATATTGAATTTTTACTGTAGCACCGTGGACTTTTGCAGCTGTCGAGTGGTGATGTAAACGATGCCCACGTGCGGCGGCTCGTGTCATTGCTGCTTCAGTATACATTTTCGAAAATTTTTTATCAACTAGTACTGTATGTAGTAAACCGTGCAAAAAACTTATTTTACTAATTATTAGCAGATACGTACTCGTACTGCACCTCATAACAAATTTTCGAAAATGTGTATTTAGGCAGCAGTGACACGAGCCGCCGCATGTGTGTTTCGTTTAGATCACCACTCGACAAATGCAAAAGTTCTCGGTGCTACAGTAAAAGTTCAATACAAAACTAATTACGAATAACTCCACTCACTGCATTGCACAGTGTGTGATAATATGCAAACTTTTACATTCTGTCTGGCCACGCCCCCTTGACCATGGCAGATGAAAATATTTTTTTAAGCATATTACGATAGTATACTATCAGTTTACAAAATATGAAATTTTTCTGAATTTGGAGGACCCCTATGTGCCCTGGTAAGCTCATATAACGGAGTCGCCGCCGTACATGGGCGGCTGTGACATCGCCGTGTTAGAAGTTAATTCAGAGGAGCTCGAATTCAGTTTAAAGACATCAACTTTGAAGAAATGAAGAAAAACTTAAACAGAAATCAAGGTGAACTAAATTAACTTCTAACACGGCGATGTCACAGCCGCCCATGTACGGCGGCGACTCCATTATATGAGCTTAGTGCAGTGGCTCACGTGGCGTTGCTAAAGCGCTTTCGCCACTGATTTCTTTACGACGCAATTGCAAGAAAACGTTTCAAGCTTTTTTAAAAATTTCAAGTACTCTGTAAAGAGTAAATCCTCCTTAATTGGATAAAGAAGAAAACTGGAAGAAAATCGGTTTGGGGAACTTAATATTTTGGGTGTTTCACTTGAACGACCATACGAGTAGTGGATGTGCGCCGGCGTTTCTGCTGTATTGAGTTAAACAGAAAATTAATTATCGCTATGTTGCAATCAGGTTAACAAGTAATAAACGCGTTGTCTTAACCATAGAAAGAGCAGCTTACCGCCTCCACCATCTGATCTTCTCTTGGGTTTAAACCCAAAAATTCACCGAAAACATTAACCGGCAATTTGCAAAACACAGACGCTCAGGCAACCTTAGTATCCATACATAATTTCGCGGAAATACAGTCTAACACACAGCAGACTATGATAACTATAGACTGTTATCGATATCGGAGATTAGTACGTGTCGACTGTCAAGTGTGGATAATCGTTACCGCATGCTACCAACACTGAAATGTGGAATGGCGCATGGCGGCAGCATAACTGTATCAGAGACAGAGCTTGCACGCTGAATCGCTGATAAAGTCTTGTTATTGTTATGCGGTATTAACCTAGTCTACAAATAATATCACGATCACACCGATTTACACGCAGCTGCTTGAAACGCCAGTTAGATCCGCAGTTTACCGATAATCGCAGGAAGTTAAAGCACTTTCCGTCTGTTTCGTAGCTGCTCAACCCGATCAACGATGTTGCTAGCGTTGCTCGGGACGCTGTTCAGCGGTGCGCTGCTATACAGCCTGTATTACATCGCGGCGTGGTACCTGCGCGAATGGCGCTACCGCTGGCCGCCGGGACCGCGTTGTCTGCCGCTGATCGGGTTGCCGCTAATGCCGTCCGACCTCAAATCATTCCATCGCGTCCACTATGACTTCGCTAAGAAGTACGGCAGTATAGTGCGCACCATGATCGGTCCCATCGTCACCGTCCAGCTCAACGATCCCAAAGTTATCAAGGAGGCCTTCTCCCGCGATGTCTTCGTGCCGCGACCCACATCCTGGTATTTTTATTTCGACGAACGCGCCCGCATAAACGACGGTGCAACCGGTAAATCGTGATATAAAAACTAGTCAAGTTCGTCTCGAAGAGAGGCGAGAACTTCTAGCGAACAATCTAGTTGGCGTGCACTGGCAGACCGGAGCGTTGCTAATGCCTAATTTGCGTTAGTAATTGCTCTTACTTCCGTAACGAACTCCCGTAACGGACACAGATACAATTTTGCATTGCTGCAAAATTTAGAGGACCTCCGGCTCTGGCTCAGGTCGACTAGCTTAGTCGAATTTAACCACAGCAATCCGCATTTTCACAGAAATAAGCATGTACAGTATCGTACGTTGTAGGTGTCATCTTCAGCAAAGGTCAAACATGGAAAGACCATCGCGGCTTTATTCTGCAGAAACTGCGCGATTTCGGCGTGGGCAAATTCAAGATGGAGGAGAAGATCGTCGAAGAGACGGCGACACTGATTAAACTGCTGGAGGCGGCCAACGGCCAACCAATCGACACGCGCGCACCGTTAAGCAGCACCGTCGCCAACGTCATCGGCAGCGTCCTCATGGGAACGCGCTACGCTCCCGACGACCCGGTCTTCGTGGACGTAATGCGCTGGACTTGCGAGATCATCCAGTTCACCCCGAAGAAGGTCTTCTTGGCGCTCTTTCCCTTTTTGCGCCATGTTCCACCTTTCAGCGCCACCTACGCCGAAGTACTGGGGACCTTACGCGGCTTCAAGGCTTTCTTCCGGAAACCCATTCAAGAGCATTTGGACAACTGGCAGCCGGATCGCAATGCCGATTTTATCGACACGTACATCGCCGCCGTGAAGGAGCAGCAGCCGGCGACGTTTAACAGTGCGTGACCTTTTCCTTTGTTTTTATGCGGAATACAGTGCTACGTGGTGCATTCACAGTGAATGAGTTGCAATTGACATTGGACGATCTTTTCGAAGCTGGGTTCGAAACCACGACGACAACGCTGCGATGGGTAACTCAAATCCAGTTGGATCAAGTTTAATATTATAAATAACTTCTTATTAATTTATGAAGCGGTTTTTTAATGACGATTTTCGTTGGTGGTAGGCGTTTCTGTTAATGGCCGCCCATCCCGATATTCAAGCTAAAGTGCACGCCGAACTGGACAAGAATATTCCGCTCGGAACGTACGTTAAACTCTCAGATAAGGAGCAGTTGCCGTACACGGAGGCGACGATCACGGAGGTGCACCGCTTCGCCAGCATCTTCCCGTTGGGCGCCTACCACGCTGCGGAGGAGGACGCCACCATCCAGGGATACGACATCCCCAAAGGTTACTTCTGGCATTTTCCGCATACCTTGTCCACTTTTAATTAGGATGATCTTTGGCAGGTACCTGGCTGCAGGCCAACATCTACTTCGTCCACCACAACACTGACTGGTGGGATGCGCCCGAACAGTTCAATCCCGACCGCTTCCTGACCGGGAAAAACCAGGTGCAGGCTTCGGACAACGTCATCCCTTTCGGCCTCGGTACGCTACATTTATGCTGCGGATAGGGTGATTAAGAAGGGTGACGGCAGTGTCGTTGCAGGGAAGCGGCGTTGCCTGGGCGAGGCGTTGGCGCGCGCCGAACTCTTCATCATCTTCACTGCCGTCATGCAGCGCTTCACCGTCCACTTGCCAGACAGCGTCCAGACGGCTGATCTGACGCCTACCATGGGAGTCCTCACCGACACGCAGCCCCATAAGCTGTGTTTCGTCTCCCGTAATAATCCTATATATTAATAAAATAAGCCTTAGCGAATTCCATTTCTGTCTCCCTTTTTTGAGCGAGCCACTGAACCAAACTTTGATGTCTATCCTATATATTAATAAAATAAGCCTTAGCGAATTCCATTTCTGTCTCCCTTTTTTGAGCGAGCCACTGAACCAAACTTTGATGTCTATATGTCATTTAATAGCCGTTAGTTTGCAGATTTGCAGAAACCAGTTAGTTTTTTGAAAATATGTGAAGTTTCCGAGAAAATCTTAAAAGATCTTAACATACAAAGTCTATGGGAAAAGTGGAGAAGCCACCACTGCAAACCCACCCACGCCACCACCCTGATGAACAGCATAGGAAAACTTCAGGAAAAGCATTCATCTACACTTGATGGAACTTTGGTGTCCCTTAGTTATCCAATTGCCTTTAGTTCATAAAGTTTTTATTAAGAGTTAGTTTTTAAAAAATGTAGGCTTTGAAAGTGATGATTTTTAAAACTGAACATGCGGAATCTTCTGGAAAGTGGGAACGCCTCTAACTCCAAAGATAAAGTAGTTGCCTTTCGCAACGGGTTGATTAGATTTAATATTGAAACTGCTTCCCCAGGGCGGTTGGCTTTGGCAACATCGTGATGACGTGCCAATAAACATCGGAAATCGCCAATAAACATATTATTTTGTGAGAGACTGAAATTCGATTTCAGGAATTTTGGTGTTCGACTGGAAATGATGTGGACTGCTTGAGCAAAACAACGAGTCTCAGTCCCGCCGGGCGTACGGACAAGGGTTCCAGTCTAACCACCGCCGGGGGAGGGGAGGGAGGGAAGGCGGCCCAAGTCTTTTCCGGTGACTGAAGTGAGGAGCGCGTATTTTTAATGTCCGCAGGGGGAGGGACGAGGGAGGGGAGATTAAAATATTTTCCAAAAGACTAAGGAACGTAGAAAAGCGGTTTTATTAAAACAAAAAACGCATTTTTTAGCATTAAAAAGTTTAAAACAAACAGAAGATTCAAAAATCAAACTTATCCGCTTTCTAATCATATTTCCACCAGCTATAAAGCAATCCGTCAGATCATCTCCCATCAAAGGTCAAAACTAAAAAACCCAGGAGGAGGTGTGCAAGCAGTACGAGGAAACTGGACACCGGAAAGCATTTTTATTCTAAGTGGTCTAAAGGTTAACAACGGTGGTCGTACCGTCGTATCACTGGATTGTTTTGTCCGTCACAACGCACTGGCTAAAATTTAACAAAGCTCAGAATGGTATCTGAACCAGTAGAATTACTGTAATACGGCTATATACAGTAATTATGGAGTTTTTCTTATTTGTAGTTCTTGACAACTCACCAGCATATGCTGCTGACTGATTTGGGAAAAGCTTAAAAACTTTTTTTTATAACTGCAAAAAAAGGCATACATGTATTCCTAGAAATAATGGAAATTGTCAAATTTTGCGGGTTTGATTTAAGATTAAATCTGAAGTCAGCGGAACACGACAATGTTTTCTCAAAGCGGCCCTAAACATTTAATTAGTAAACTGTGATACATTTTAACTCCTATTAATATGTCAGTGAACTATGGCCAAAATAAAGAATAATTTACGACATAAGTTACGATAAGTAGTCAACCAATAGGTACGGTATATGGCAAATACTGTCTGCCTCTGCCAGTGAAACTATTATATATTATTATTATTATACGCTCCGCTCAATAAAACTAAATTTGTATTTTGTAGTCATTGGTTTGTCCTCTGCAGTTTTCGTAAATAACAATTTATCGCCAATTTATTCCGCGCAGTTTGCGCGGGGTCTACTAGTAGTAACTTTAATTCAGCAACAGTACAAGTACAGTGAAGTACGATGATAGCATGACAATAAATCTACCGAACACTAAAGACAGTCAGACAAAACAATATCAGCATAAAACACAGAATCTCCACACGCCACACCAACTAGATCACTGGTTGAATGGCGAAAACGCGCCGAAGCGCTTTGGGGTAATACTCGCCCCAGATCCCATCGGGCATGACACACAGAGACTCCGGATTTACACCTCCACGTCCCATCCACCCATCCAGAGGGTTCGGGAGATCCACTCCACGGTCCAATGTGAGCGAAACGACGGCTTCCAGAATGACCATCCATGCGTCCCCGAAAACAGAAAACACAGAGCCCCCGAACGCTGCACCAAATAGGTCACTGGTTGAACGGCGAAAACGCGCCGAAGCGCTTTGGGTTAATACTCGCCCCAGATCACATCGAGCACAACGTTCAGAAACACCGAGCTTCCCGCCAACAGGGCCGACGAAGTCTTCTCCGCGGGATGAATCCAGGAACCGATTCAACTCCATGATATGAGAGACGGTCCAGACGGATGAACAAAGCGAATCAGATGGCGAAGTGAGATGTTACACGGGTGCTAGAGAGCCTCCAGTGGCGGATGCTGGCAGAACCCGACCGTGAAAGCGCTCAGGACTTGTCCCTGTCAATCTGGCGTTAACCAGAATGGCAGGGCTCAGTTTACCACTCAAAAATATCCGCAAAAATAAAATGACAACACAGGAAATTCAAAACTCTAGACAAAGACTGTCTAGACTACTTACAATTAGATGACGCTGACGGTGAGTTGGCTGACTTCGTTGACTACGTTGATTGACAAATTGTACAAGCTAGCAGCCATTTACAGTTTACACTGATAATAATTATTACTTTCCCTTATCTGGGCTCCCGAGCAATATGAGCAACCCTCTACATGGGCGGTTACGTTCCTCACACTTTCGCAGCTATTATCAGTGTTATGACTTATGACTGACTGAAAATTTTAACCAGTACCGTCTGTACTTTTGTAGCATTTAGTTTGTATCAAAGTGCTCAGGCTGCATTAACGACAGATTCAAAATCTTTCTAAAATTTATGTTTGTGACTTTGCCAAATGGACCGTGAAGATGCGATTTTGTTTGCTGTAAAGTGCTTGCACGATGGTGCACGATGGTACACTATATCGTCGTTAAATACTGCTGCCAAGCGCTATCTGTACAATGCTCATTTTTCGGTTTGTTCATGGTGAATCCGGTTGAAATTAATGCAAAAAATATATATGTAGATAAATATATAAATATAATTCGGATGTGAAATTTCGGAATTCGTCGGTATGCTCACTTGTATATCCGATCGAAAGAAGTAGAAAAGGGTTCTGCTATAAATCCGATAAATTTAATTTGACGGGTATTGATAACTAGCCGGGAGTCCAAATAAGGAGAGTAATATAAAGGGAGCCCATATAAGGCAGTAATCGAAGTAAAAAACTGGACTGTACAGGAAAGTGGACTGGCCCAATGTTGAAACTGCATTGGTGATTTTCCTCTAACATTATTCCACTAGGAGAACTTTGCAGTTTGCGGGCGTTTTTCCATATGCGTTGTCCGGAAATTTTGCAGACACTCTGTGGTTTATGCAGAAACATCGAAGTGATCGCCTTTTTTCCAAAGAATACCAAAAAACGTTTTTCAGATGTGTTGTTACTTTTATAAAACCAAAAACCATAATTCTGTAAAAAAGTCGTTAATTTGCTAGAATGCCGTATTTCATGCAAAAACTTCGATCTTTTCGCGAATAGCCAGTTGAATTCGCAAGAAAACCATCAAATATGCGAAAAAATCGATGTTCTCGCAATTAATAATCATGAGATTTCGCAAATAGCCATTTTTTTTAAAAAATACCGATGATTTCGCGAAAACTCTCTTAGTTCTGCAGAATGCCGTCTTTCGTGCGAAAACACCAATGTTTTTGCGAAAACATCGATGTTTTCGCAGATTGTCAGTAAGATTTGAAAAGACGCCGTATTTCCTGCTAAAACATCGATGTTTTCACATCGATGTTTAGCAGGAAATACGGCGTTTTTGTACATCTAGAAAAAAGATATGTTGTTATTATGCGTTGTTATTTTATAAAATCCATATTTTCGAGAAAAGTCGTTAAATCGCTATAAGCGTTGTTATTTTATAAAACCCATATTTTCGAGAAAAGTCGTTAATTTGCAAGGATGCCGTATAAAACATCGATGTTTTCACAGATTGTCCGGAAATCTTGCAGAACGCCGTCTTGTATGCGAATACATCGACGTTTTTGCAGATTGTTCGGGAGTCTTGCAAGAATATCGTATTTCCCGCGAAAACATCGATGTTTTCGCAGATTGTCCGGACGTCTTGCCAAATCGCCCCCGTTTATGCGAAAACATCGATGTTTTCGCAGATTGTCCAGAAGTCTTGCAGGAATGCTGTATTCCGTGCTGAAACATCGATGTTTTCACAGATTGTCCGGAAGTCTTGCAAAACGCCGTATTTCAGGCGAAAACATCGATGTTTTCGGCGGTTGTATGGAAGTCTTGCCAAAACGCCCTATCTCTTGCATTCGCAGGTTGTCCGGACGTTTTGCAAAATGCCGTATTTCCTGCTGAAACATCAACGTATTTGCAGGTTGTATGGAAGTCTTGTAAAAACGCCGCCGTTTATGCGCAAACATCGATGTTTTCGCAGATTTTCCGGAAGTCTTGGAAAACGACGTATTTCATGCAAAAACATCGATGTTTTCGCAGAGAGTCCGCAAGTCTTGCGAAAACGCCTTAGTTCCCGCTCAATCATCGATGTTTTCGCATATTGTTCGAAAGTCTTGCCAAAACGCCGTATTTCATGAGAAAACATCGATGTTTTTACAGTTTGTTCGGAAGTCTTGCCAAAACGCCGTATTTCCTGCTAAAACATCGATGTTTTCGCAGGGTGTCCGGAAGTTATAGGGATAATATAAGCAAATAGGTCATATCTAAATCCTGTATTTCCGGCAACTCTCAGAGCAGATTTCCATCAAAGCCATTTCCTTTTTCTCTTGGTTGCTTCTTTGTCGTGCAATTAAGCAGTGCGCCCGCTTAATGCAGAAAAATATTTTTCAGCGATCCTCAACACCGATTTCGTTTTCGGCTTCGCTGTCGTCGGATGGGCCGATGTCCAGATGTTAATCGAAGGACGACTGCAGCACAAAGAACTGCAAAAACACAGAGTAAATTTCAAGCATCATCGAGCTTGAAGAAGGAGAAACCAAACGCTTCAATACCAAAACAACGCTTCCCGTCACTCGAATATTCAAAAATTTGTTATATCTGGTATAAACCGTGTATTTGTGTTGGACGCTGTGCTACTGCGTTAGAACTGGCGGGAGAA